CGCCACTTAGTGGTTGAATGGCGGTTGTTGTTGTCTGTGTGTGTGTCTGTGTGTGTGTCTGTGTGTGTGTCTATCTGTGTGTGTGTGTGTGCTGTACCGTGGTTAGCGCTACGCTGCGCTACGAACCCGGCGACCCGGGTTCGATTCCCGTTCACGGCCAACAGCTGGGAGGATAATTATCGGAACCGGTCCTGGGCCTCCCCTAGGTCGACTCAGCCTCAAATTAGTACCTGGTGCGGTGCGTAAAAACGTCGACCACTGGGGAGACAAAGGCGGCCCCCTCGTGTGCCGTGCCGGCCTTCGTAGGTGCTCGCTAACAGCACTTGCCCCCACCGTCTGTTACAGGCTACACGGGGGATCTTTGTCTTTGTGCATATGTCAATTCATTTCACCTGCTCGAATCTGCATTGATGATTGTAGAGTGTGTGTGTGTCAACGTTACGTGGTGTGGTGTGTGTGTGTCAACATATTGTGTGCATGTCATCGTATTTGACTATTTTTAAATCCTTTATATTAAGTTCACTTGCTTGCTTGCGCGCTTACGACCGTGCAAATCTTTCGGTCGTTTTTTTAACCCACTTCCCGTGATCCAATCGAGCTGACATTTTGCACACAGACTCGTTGTGCGTGACAATTTATTTTCGTGAAAAGATGTTCCAAAATTGTACACTTTTTTGGAAAAAATAAATTATATTTAATTACCAATTGCTTAATGGTGGCAGGCAATCATCTGACCCATAGGTGGCAGCCATCTCAAGCCAGAGGACGAGAGGACTCTAGCCGCCACGCATATAAAGGATTTATATTGACAAACTTTGTTTTTACGGGTTAATTTTTTGTCAACTGTTTCTTTTCATTTGACCAGGTACGGCCCACTGAGTTTTGTAGCTCAGAAGCGACCTGGTCGTCACAAATGATCGCTGTGCTGAGTGGGCCCCATCAGCATCATCATCACCACCACCACCGCGTGGACATTTATATCAGCAGCAGCAGCAGCAGCAGCCAGATCATACTAAACGCGTGGCTACGTTGATTCTTAAATATGCAGGGGAGGACCCTGGAGACAAATACACGCGATCACGAGGAGAGAGAGCGAGAGAGAGAGAGACACCGCAAACTCCAAATAAACAGCAGCAGGCGTCGTCAGGGTCGGGATCGAACCCACGACCTCCTGTAGACCAGGCGAGGTAGTCAACATCTCCTAGCCACCGTGATGATGATGAGAGAGAGACACACGCAAAACTCCAAATATACAGCAGCAGGCATCATCAGGGTCGGGATCGACCCCACGACTTCCTGTACACCAGGCGAGGTAGTTAACATCTCCTAGCCACCGTGATGATGATGAGAGAGAGACACGCAAACTCCAAATATACAGCAGCAGGCATCGTCAGGGTCGGGATCGAACCCACGACCTCCTGTACATCAGGCGAGGTAGTCAACATCTCCTAGCCACCGTGATGATGATGATGAGAGAGAGAGACACGCAAACTCCAAATAAACAGCAGCAGGCATCGTCAGGGTCGGGATCGAACCCACGACCTCCTGTAGACCAGGCGAGGTAGTTAACATCTCCTAGCCACCGTGATGATGATGAGAGAGAAACACACGCAAAACTCCAAATATATAGCAGCAGACATCGTCAGGGTCGGGATCGAACCCACGAACTTGCCCCTCTCACAGCCCCTCCCACGGCACTTGCCCCTCTCACAGCCCCTCCCACAACACTTGCCCCTCTCACAGCCCCTCCCACGGCACTTGCCCCTCTCACAGCCCCTCCCACAACACTTGCCCCTCCCACAACACTTGCCCCTCTCACAGCCCCTCCCACAACACTTGCCCCTCCCACGACACTTGCCCCTCTCACAGCCCCTCCCACAACACTTGCCCCTCTCACAGCCCCTCCCACAACACTTGCCCCTCCCACAACACTTGCCCCTCTCACAGCCCCTCCCACGGCACTTGCCCCTCTCACAGCCCCTCCCACAACACTTGCCCCTCCCACAACACTTGCCCCTCTCACAGCCCCTCCCACAACACTTGCCCCTCCCACAACACTTGCCCCTCCCACAACACTTGCCCCTCCCACAACACTTGCCCCTCTCACAGCCCCTCCCACAACACTTGCCCCTCCCACACACTTGCCCCTCCCACAACACTTGCCCCTCTCACAGCCCCTCCCACAACACTTGCCCCTCCCACAACACTTGCCCCTCCCACAACACTTGCCCCTCTCACAGCCCCTCCCACAACACTTGCCCCTCCCACAACACTTGCCCCTCTCACAGCCCCTCCCACAACACTTGCCCCTCTCACAGCCCCTCCCACAACACTTGCCCCTCCCACGGCACTTGCCCCTCTCACAGCCCCTCCACAACACTTGCCCCTCCCACAAACACTTGCCCCTCCCACAACACTTGCCCCTCTCACAGCCCCTCCCACAACACTTGCCCCTCCCACAACACTTGCCCCTCTCACAGCCCCTCCCACAACACTTGCCCCTCCCACAACACTTGCCCCTCTCACAGCCCCTCCCACAACACTTGCCCCTCTCACAGCCCCTCCCACAACACTTGCCCCTCCCACGGCACTTGCCCCTCTCACAGCCCCTCCCACAACACTTGCCCCTCCCACAACACTTGCCCCTCCCACAACACTTGCCCCTCTCACAGCCCCTCCCCCAACACTTGCCCCTCCCACAACACTTGCCCCTCTCACAGCCCCTCCCACAACACTTGCCCCTCCCACAACACTTGCCCCTCTCACAGCCCTCCCACAACACTTGCCCCTCTCACAGCCCCTCCCACAACACTTGCCCCTCCCACGGCACTTGCCCCTCTCACAGCCCCTCCCACAACACTTGCCCCTCCCACAACACTTGCCCCTCCCACAACACTTGCCCCTCTCACAGCCCCTCCCACAACACTTGCCCCTCCCACAACACTTGCCCCTCTCACAGCCCCTCCCACAACACTTGCCCCTCCCACAACACTTGCCCTCCCACACACTTGCCCCTCCCACAACACTTGCCCCTCTCCCAGCCCCTCCCACAACACTTGCCCCTCCCACAACACTTGCCCCTCCCACGGCACTTGCCCCTCTCACAGCCCCTCCCACAACACTTGCCCCTCCCACAACACTTGCCCCTCCCACAACACTTGCCCCTCTCACAGCCCCTCCCACAACACTTGCCCCTCCCACGGCACTTGCCCCTCTCACAGCCCCTCCCACAACACTTGCCCCTCTCACAACACTTGCCCCTCCCACGGCACTTGCCCCTCTCACAGCCCCTCCCACAACACTTGCCCCCCCCCCCCCCCCCCCCACAGCTGAGCGGCAAGCGGACTTGCCGCTCAGCTCCACTTGGCGGTACCAGCGGTGTCAACATGAACTCTGCCCTCGATTTGTGAATGTGGATTGTAGATTTTTATTTATTTTATTTTAAATACAGCCAGTCGGCACAGGAGCGGGAACAGCTGGTGATGCATCTGCCGGTCATTTTAGTCGGGCAACCCATGGCACCTGCAGGGTCTGCACCGTGACCTCCTGCACCTAGCCTGGCACAGTAGGAGGGTACAGCTGATGGTGCATCTGCCGATCATCTCAGTCAGCTAACCCATGGCACCTGCAGGGTCTGTCCCGTGACCTCCTGCACCTAGCCTGGCACAGTAGGAGGGTACAGCTGGTGGTGCATCTGCCGGTTATCTCAGTCGGGCAACCCATGGCACCTGCAGGGTCTGTCCCGTGACCTCCTGCACCTAGCCTGGCACAGTAGGAGGGTACAGCTGGTGGTGCATCTACCGGTCATCTCAGTCAGCTAACCCATGGCACCTGCAGGGTCTGTCCCGTGACCTCCTGCACCTAGCCTGGCACAGTAGGAGGGTACAGCTGGTGGTGCATCTACCGGTCATCTCAGTCAGCTAACCCATGGCACCTGCCGGGTCTCACACACACACACACACAGTGGATAGATACGTCATGATCCAGCAGTTGATAGATCATGACTCACGATGTTTGATGATGATGATGATGATGCGGTTATGATGCTGCTGCTGCTGCTGATGGTGATGCTAACGGTGAAAATGATGCTGCTGCTGCTGATCAGGATGTCGACAGGGAAGGGGTGTTCGTGTGGTGTGTGGCGTGAGCACGCGTGGCTTGCAAGAGGAAATGATTTCACCAACAGATGAGCTGAGATTATTGCGTTACACAAGCGTGACTGTGTGTGTGTGACTGTGTGTGTGACTGTGTGTGTGTTTGTGTGTGTGTTACTGTGTGTGTGACTGTGTGTGTGTGACTGTGTGTGTGTGACTGTGTGTGTGTGACTGTGTGTGTCTGTGTGTGTGTGTGACTTTGTGTGTGACTGTGTGTGTGTGACTGTGTGTGTGTGACTGTGTGTGTGACTGTATGTGTGTGACTGTGTGTGTGACTGTGTGTGTCTGTGTGTGTGTGTTACTGTGTGTGACTGTGTGTGTGTGACTGTGTGTGTCTGTGTGTGTGTGTGACTGTGTGTGTCTGTGTGTGTGTGTGACTGTGTGTGTGTGTGACTGTGTGTGTGACTGTGTGTTTTTTGTTGTTTCTGGAGGAGCCCCGAGGGTGAAAATTCAATCTCCTGGCTCCGCCAAATGGGGTTTGGCCAGGAGACGTCATAAAAGCCTGACCCCCCGGGGCCTCCGGCACAAGCTTATTTGTTACAGGTTTATGTTTAATTCGTGGTTTAGTGGTGGTTAATTGAAGGTGGAGGGGTTACCAGCCCCTCACACCCGTCCAGAGCCCCCGTTTAGCCACTGTGGTGGTCACAGACGCCATGAGGGGAGAGGCCAATGGGCATTGGCCCTCCCCCCACAGCACTGCCCACGACAGTGTTGCCCGTCCGGCACCGCGAGGAGGTAGGAGGTTGTTTTGCCGGACTATTTTGACCGCGTAGTTCGTGAAGCCTTCAATAGCTGTACCGGAGGAATTTCCATTTGGTACAGATATAATGGGAGGCTGAACGACGCCCGGGTACGATCAAGGGATGGCTCCCTATTGGTCAACCACGTTATGTATGCCGATGATTTGGTAATAGCTGCTCATTCAGAAGAGGAGTTGGAGACGCTGCTGCTGAGACTGGAGCGTGCCACCAAGAGGTGGGGCCTTACCATCAGCCCCACCAAAACTAAGCACCTGCCTGGGTATTTTGTACCATCGGACACTCCACCCCCACAACTCCCAATTGGTGATGGGGCAGTTGTGGAGAGAGTGGAGAGTTTCCCATACCTGGGCCGTGTGCTTATGACCGGCTCCAGTCTATCAGCAGAGGTCTCACTCCGAATCAGTCGAGCGGCAATATCTTTTCATCGGTTGCGTAACGCTGTGTGGAAGCTACCTGGTCTGTCGCTCCGCACGAAGCTTCAGGTCTTCTCGGCCACGGTCATTCCCTCCCTTCTCTACGCTTGCGAGACGTGGACCCCCCTGGTGGAGCATCTTCGCCGGTTGGAAACATTTAGGCTGGCCTGCCTACGATCCATCCTGGGTTTAACCAGGCTGGATTGTGTGAGGAGCTCACAAATCCTTGAAAGATCTGGGCAAAGTCCCATCAGTGAGCTCCTCCGGCAGGCAAGGCTGCGTTGGCTGGGTCATGTAGCCCGCATGCCCAGCCACCGCATGCCTAAACAGCTTTTGTTCGGCCGGATCGAGGGGGCTAGACGGGCGCGGCACGGGCTGGAGAAGAGATGGAGTGATGTGGTACAGGAGGACGTGGAGCTGAGTGGACTTGCCGATGACTGGTACCAGCGGTGTCAAGATCGGCCTCAGTGGAGGAGGCTCGTGAAGGACGCTACTGGGCAGTTGGAGGCAGTCGCCCTCCAACAACAACGGAGGGCGGAGGAGCGACGCTCACAACAACGAGCGGAGCGCCGGGTGGCTAAAGCACAGCAAGTTGGCACAGTAGGGGGCACAGGTGGTGCATCAGCCAGTCATCTCGGTCATCTCGGTCAGTCGACCCGTGGCACCTGGGTCTGCCCCGTGACCTCCTGCCAGCGGGCTTTCGACACTTCACGTGGCCTCAAGGTGCACTTGGCCTGGCACAAGCATCGTGGTGACGTCACCGCCACTTAGTGGCGAATGGCGGTTGTTGTTGTTGTTGTTGTTGTGACTGTGTGTGTGTGTCTGTGTGTGTGACTGTGTGTGTCTGTGTGTGTGTGTTACTGTGTGTGTGACTGTGTGTGTGTGACTGTGTGTGTGACTGTGTGTGTCTGTGTGTGTGTGTGTTACTGTGTGTGTGACTGTGTGTGTGTGACTGTGTGTGTGTGTGACTGTGTGTGGCACAGTAGGGGGCACAGGTGGTGCATCAGCCAGTCATCTCGGTCATCTCGGTCAGTCGACCCGTGGCACCTGCTGGGTCTGCCCCGTGACCTCCTGCCAGCGGGCGTTCGACACCTCACGTGGAAGCCTCAAGGTGCACATGGCCTGGCACAAGCGTCGTGGTGACGTCACCGCCACTTAGTGGCGAATGGCGGTTGTTGTGTGTGTGTGACTGCGTGTGTGTACGTGTGTGTGTGTGACTGTGTGTGTGTGAGACTGTATGTGTGTGTGACTGTGTGTGTAGTCGTGGGGAGCGGTGGTGCAGCAGTTAGCGCGCTGCGCTACTAACGCGGCGACCCGAGTTCGATTCCTACTCACGGCGAACACCACCAGTGACGATTATCTGAACCAGTCCTGGCCCCCCCCCTAGGTAGACTCAGCCTCAAACGAGTACTTGGTGCGGTGTGTAGTAAACATCGCCGCTAGGGAGACAAAGGCGGCCGGGCGTGGTTGCTGGCCACCCACCCCCTCGTGTCCCGTGCCGGCCTTTATAGGTGCTCGCTAACAGCACTTAGAGGCTACACGGGGGATCTTTGTCTTTGTCTCCTTCATAGGCGCTGCTGCTACTCGCTAACAGCACTTGCCCCTACAGTCTGTTAGAGGCTACACGGGGGATCTTTGTCTCCTTCATAGGCGCTGCTGCTACTCGCTAACAGCACTTGCCCCGACAGTCTGTTAGAGGCTACACGGGAGATCTTTGTCTTTGTCTCCTTCATAGGTGCTGCTGCAGCTACTCGCTAACAGCACTTGCCCCTACAGTCTGTTAGAGGCTACACGGGGGATCTTTGTCTTTGTCTCCTTCATAGGCGCTGCTGCTACACGCTAACAGCACTTGCCCTGACAGTCTGTTAGAGGCTACACGGGGCATCTTTGTCTTTGTCTCCTTCATAGGTGCTACTGCTACTCGCTAACAGCACTTGCCCCAAGTCTGTTAGAGGCTACACGGGGGATCTTTGTGTTTGTCTCCTTCATAGGCGCTGCTGCTACTCGCTAACAGCACTTGCCCCGACAGTCTGTTAGAGGCTACACGGGGGATCTTTGTCTTTGTCTCCTTCATAGGCGCTGCTGCTACTCGCTAACAGCACTTGCCCCGACAGTCTGTTAGAGGCTACACGGGGGATCTTTGTCTCCTTCATAGGTGCTGCAGCTACTCGCTAACAGCACTTGCCCCGACAGTCTGTTAGAGGCTACACGGGGGATCTTTGTCTTTGTCTCCTTCATAGGCGCTGCTGCTACTCGCTAACAGCACTTGCCCCGATAGTCTGTTAGAGGCTACACGGGGGGTCTTTGTCTCCTTCATAGGCGCTGCTGCTACTCGCTAACAGCACTTGCCCCGACAGTCTGTTAGAGGCTACACGGGGGATTTTTGTCTGTGTCTCCTTCATAGGCGCTGCTGCTACTCGCTAACAGCACTTGCCCCGACAGTCTGTTAGAGGCTACACGGGGGATCTTTGTCTTTGTCTCCTTCATAGGCGCTGCTGCTACTCGCTAACAGCACTTGCCCCGACAGTCTGTTAGAGGCTACACGGGGGATCTTTGTCTTTGTCTCCTTCATAGGCGCTGCTGCTACTCGCTAACAGCACTTGCCCCGATAGTCTGTTAGAGGCTACACGGGGGATCTTTGTCTCCTTCATAGGCGCTGCTGCTACTCGCTAACAGCACTTGCCCCTACAGTCTGCTAGAGGCTACACGGGGGACCTTTGTGGTGGAGGGGCTTGTGAGGTTCTGAGCGCAGCGTCCGCTGTGGTCAGCGATGTCGAAATCCGCGAGTGGCAGATTCGGGCAGTCGCGGTTTGTGATGGCTGCTGCTGCTGCGGTAGTGGTGGTGGTGGCGGTGGTGGTGGTGGTGGCGGTGGTGGTGGTGGTGGTGGTGGCGGTGGTGGTGGTGGTGGTGGCGGTGGTGGTGGTGGTGGTAGTGGTGGTGGTGGTGTCCGTTCTTGCTTCCTTTCTCGGAGCCCTCTTTTCTTCTCGTTTTCGTTGAGCCACAATTTATGAGTCCATTGATACGGGGGGGGGGGGGGGGGGTGGTTAGATCGTGTGACTAACACATTCCTCCTGCTGCGGAGGGAGCTGGTAGGAACGTTGGTTTGTTCTTCTTCTTGGTTCTTTCGGTAAAGTCACGTAGAATGGAAATAATAAAATAGGAAACAATAAAACATAATAAAATCATTCTCACGACGTTTCGGCCACACGGCAAGCAGCCGTCCTCAGGTGAAGAACAGGTCTGTCCATTCTACGTGACTTTACCGAAAGAACCAAGAAGATGAATCCCTGCAGTCACGAAAGCTTTAAATCGAAATTTAACGTTGGGTTGCTCGGTCAATGGCCAGGGTCAACGACGGCGTGGTGTATTCCGCAAATATGCCCGACTGTGAGGGCGAGCACAAGCCAGCGTGAGTAGGTTAAACGTTGAGTTTTATAAGGGCACCACGGGGTGACCAGCCCCTTCCCACTCAGCCCCACCCCTCCCACCCCCCACCCAGCCCAACCCTCCCCACCCAACCCCTCCCCACCCTCCCCTCTCCACCCAGCCCCTCCCCACCCTCCCCACCCAGCCCCTCCCCACCCTCCCCTCTCCACCCAGCCCCTCCCCACCCTCCCCACCCAGCCCCTCCCCACCCTCCCCTCTCCACCCAGCCCCTCCCCACCCTCCCCTCTCCACCCAGCCCCTCCCCACCCTCCCCACCCAGCCCCTCCCCACCCTCCCCATCCAGCCCCTCCCCACCCTCTCCACCCAGCCCCACCCCTCCCATTTTTGGATGCACGACGGACGGACGAACACAATAATCCCCTGTGGGCTGGTGGAACCAGGTGGTTCCTACCAGTATCAACGTTGTGTCGTTAAACCCGACAACCACCCGACACGGCCAATTAGTCGCGGTCCTCCTGCTGCGTTTGTCCCACCTGGTGACGGCTGCTTGTGTTGCGACCGAAACGTCGTGATCTGTGGATTTTCTAACCGACGCGACTTTTTACCGAAAGAACCCAAAGGGGTATGGATTCGTGACGGGGGGGGGGGAGTTTTGTCGCGAAAAACAAAACGTGGCCCCGATGATTCGTGAATTCGTACAGCACCACACCGGCACAAAACACAGACACAGCGTGAGTAGGTTAAACTACTCACGCTGGAGAGCCTCTCTCTCTCTGTTTTTGTTTTACGATCAGTGGAAACAAGAAGATGCTCGGTGTAGTCGACACTTTGCTTCGTTCATCATTTCGTAATTTTTTTTTATGTAAACTCCCATCTCTCGCTCACTCTCTCGGTCACTCTCTCGGTCACTCTCTCGCTCACTCTCTCGGTCACTCTCTCGCTCACTCTCTCGCTCACTCTCTCGGTCACTCTCTCGCTCACTCTCTCGCTCACTCTCTCGCTCACTCTCTCGGTCACTCTCTCGCTCACTCTCTCGGTCACTCTCTCGCTCACTCTCTCGGTCACTCTCTCGCTCACTCTCTCTCGGTCACTCTCTCGCTCTCTCTCTCTTTCTCTCTCTGTGTGTATGTAAGAAATGGTTTTACCCCTTTCCGTCAACAAGACAGTTTGCGTTGAGATGTTCAAACACCAAACACAGAAACCTTTTGCAAGGAATCGTGTCCGCCACTAACCACACAGAACTAGGAGCTAGTGGTAAACGTGCAAACAAAACAAAAACGCACGCGCTCTGGTAGTGTCTGTGCCATTGTCTCTGAAACCGATCGCTCCACGCCAGAGGCAGCTTCCTTGAGGGCCTCGTCTCAACCAGTGTCAGACCAGAGGATGCCACTGTGAGGACATTGAGAGCTCGGAGTTGAGCAGCTACATCATGGGACCTTCCTTGCCACTGTCAAAATATAAGAATAGAGTTTGACATTTCTGGCAATGAGACAATTTGCGTTGAGATGTTAACACGCCAGACTGAGACCTTGTTGCAAGGAATCGTGACTGCATTAACGACACGTACTTGTGGTGAACATGAAAACAAAGACACACACACGCTCTGGTAGCATGTGACGCGTTGTCTCTGCAGCCGAGTGGTCTACGCCAGAGACAGCCTTCTTTAGGGGATTGTCTCATGCAGCGTCAGACCAGAGGAGACAGTCAAATGGCGAACAGCACAATTATCATTCTGTGTTACTGCCAAGAAAGGTACCACGTTGATGTCTCTGTGTGTGTGTGTCTTCCTGTGTGTGTGTCTCTGTGTGTGTGTGTCTCTCTGTGTGTGTCTCTGTGTGTGTGTGTCTCTCTGTGTGTGTGTGTCTCTGTGTGTGTGTCTCTGTGTGTGTGTGTGTCCCTCTGTGTGTGTCTCTCTCTCTGTGTGTCTCTCTCTCTGTGTGTCTCTCTGTGTGTGTCTCTCTCTCCACGGATGTTCGTCTTCGGTGGGGGCATAAGTAACCACAACCACCACTCCTCGCCTCCGGTATGATGGGAAGGCGAGCCCAAAGTAGCCTGGGGCTTACAGCTTCCCACACCTCACCGCCACGTTCCCACGCCCCCTTCATTCTTTTGTTCAGAAGAAGAGCCACACCCTGTTGTTTGGCAGTCTCCTGCCCCGAGTAGAGGACTGTCCACCCCTCATGGTGGCAGAAGCCAGAGCCGGTTCACCGGACCTCCTGAATGCCACGGAGATCCAGGCGGTACCGGTCCAGCTCCCGACAGACGAGTGGCAGCCTCTCCTCCGCAGTGAGCGTTCGAACATTCCACGTGGCCATCCGTAGTGGCTTTTCGTTGTTTCTGGAGGAGCCCCGAGGGTAAAGATTCAATCTCCTGGCTTTGCCAAATGGAGTTTGGCCAGGAGACGTCATAGACGCCTGTCCCCCCGGGGCCTCCGGCACAAACTTATTAGTTACATATTTCAGTCGTGGTATAGTGGTAATTTATTGAAGGTGGAGGGGTTACCAGCCCCTCGCACCCGTTCAGAGCCTTCATTTAGCCACTGTGGTGGTCATAGACGCCATGAGGGGAGAGGGCCAATTGGAATTGGCCCTCCCCCCCACAGCACTGTCCACGACAGCGTTGCCCGTCCGGCACCGCGAGGAGGTAGGGGGTTGTTTTGCCGGACACTCACACACACTCACTCACACACACACTCACACACACTCACTCACACACTCACTCACACACACTCACTCACACACTCCCTCACACACACACACTCACACACACTCACACACACACACTC